ATCCATTTAGAACCCAAAGGTTTATTTCCAGGAGGAAGATCAACCAATTCCCATGTATGGTTGTTCAATATGGATTCTATTTCACTATTGACTGCCTCTTTCCAAAATAATGATTCCGAAGAAGACATAGCTTCTTTAAATGTTCGAGGCTCATTTTCCAATAAGAAAGTCACAAAATCTGGTCCAAATGAAGTAGACGTTCTTTGACATTTACTACGTCTTGGATCCTCCTGATTAAATGTACTTTCTTTTATTTCTTCCCGAGGTCGTTTAGATCCTTCACCAATCGACTCACATTCCTTTTTATACGGATATATATTTTCAAAGAACTCAGCATTATCTGATTCTATAACCTTATTATTATGAATGTCGGGATTTTCTTATTTATGAACCAGAAATCGATATGCTTTACTATTGGTCGCATATCCTATGAAAACACAATCAACAGTTTTCGGTCCTATTTTTACCCTTTTGGGTTTAGGAACTTGCACTTTTGCCAAACACCCTCACACTTTAAAATAATTCAAGTTGGGCTTCCTTCCTTTCCATTTTCATATGGAATGGATTGTGTTCTGCTATGGGGTACTCGATTTAGTATCCGGTTAGCCGTAAGAACGGCTTCCCCCCACAAGTTCTGTGGCAAACCAGAACTTATCAACAATGCGTTCATCATCTCCTTTAATGAACGATTCTTTCTTTCCTGCAATCCCATTGGATTGGGGCGTGTAAGGGCCGTTGTTGATGAAATTCCATCATATTCTAAACATATTTATTCAAACGGAGATTCATATTCACCACCCCTATTACTTCTTATCATTTTGATTTTCTTGTTAAGTTGCGTTTCAACTTCATTTTTGTATTGCTTGAATGCGTCTATTGCTTCATCTTTACTATTAAGTAAGTAAACATAGCAATATCGAGTACTATCGTCAATAAAAGTTATGAAATACTTTTTTCCACCGCGAGATGGTATTGACTTCATGTCACAAATATCTGTGTGAATTAAGTCTAAAGGATTTGAATTCCTTTCAACCGACTTATAAGGATGTTTAACATACTTAGATTCCACACATACTTGACATTTTGATTTGTCACATTCAAACTTGGGCAATACTTCCAAATTAATCATTTTCCGTAAGGTTTTATAATTGACATGACCCAAACGTATATGCCATAATTCATTTGACTCAAGTAAGTAAGACGAAGCTGAAATTTTATTATTATTTTCAACAACCATTACATTCAGCTTGAAAAGGCCCTCAGTGAGGTAACCTTTTCCTACAAACATTTCATTCTTACTTATTACAACCTTATCGGAAACAAAAACACATTTAAAACCATTCTTAACAAGAAGTCCAGTAGAGACTAAATTCTTCCTAATCTCGGGAACATGAAGGACGTTGTTCAAAGTCACCACTTTGCCGGAAGTCATTTTGAGAAATATCTTCCCACATCCTTCAATCTTGGCCTTTGAAGCATTTCCCATAGAAATCGTCTCATCGGGTCCAACAGGAGCATAAGTAGCAAAAGCTTCTCTAACAGCACAAACATGGCGAGTGGCTCCAGAATCAATCCACCACTCTTTAGGATTGCCCACCAAGTTGCATTCGGAAAGCATGGCACATAAGTCATCAACATCATCATGCTTTTCAACCATGTTTGCTTGACCCTTCTTCTTGTCTTTCTTCGGAGCACGACACTCCGTAGATTTGTGTCCGGTTTTTCCATAGTTGTAGCAATTTCCACTGAACCGCTTCTTGCTTGGGTTGTATTTTGGTCCAGAAGCCTTCTTCCTCTTTTTGTTCTCTTCAACAATATTTGCTCCCATTATTGTTGAGTTTCCATGGCCTCTCTTTTCAGCAGCTTTGTTGTCCTCTTCGATTCTCAACCGAACAATGAGATCTTCAAGAGACATCTCCTTGCGTTTGTGTTTGAAGTAGTTTTTGAAGTCCTTCCACAAAGGAGGCAACTTCTCAATCATCGCTGCTACTTGGAATGCTTCATTGATGACAAGACCTTCAATGAAATTTCTGTTAGTAAAAATACTAAGATTACTACTTTCAACATCAATATTAATTTGATTTATACCTTCAGCAAGGAGATCATGAATAATCACTTGCAATTCCTGGACTTGGGTAATAACAGACTTGCTATCTACCACTTTGTAGTCCAAAAACTTTGCAGCAATAAGCTTTTTCAACCCGGCATCTTCGCCACTGTAGACGTTATACAAAGCATCCTACAGCCCGCTTAGAATATAATTCTTGCACAAAAAATCTGAATGCTTCCACGCCTCAATCACGAGAAAGCGTTCAATTTTTGCAGTTTCATCGGACAGCACAGGAACATCTTCCTTGATGAACTTCTGGAGACTTAGAGTAGTCAAATAGAAGAACATCTTTTGCTGCCAGCGCTTGAAATCAATCCCGGAAAATTTTTCGGGTTTCTCCGCCGGTGCCAATGCTGCCGGTGTTGTTCGCCTTGTTGAGGCATTGGCAGTCACCATTGGAACAGCTTGGTTCACATTATAATTAGTCATTTCTGTAAAAGAATGACACAAACGTTAAAATCACGTAAATTTTAATCTTCAATAGAATACAAAACCACAAAGGTTTTACTCTCCAGAAACAGTAAGTACAGATACAGAAAATATTTAAATTCCTTAAGCTTGTTAGTATACTATATTTCTAATATAATTCTGAAAATATAAATGAATATAAACAGAAATAAACATAAATAGAAATGAACATAAACAGAAATGACAGAAAACCAATTCGAAGCCCACTCGAATTCACAGCGTTTCCTNTCTCCTTGCGTTTGTGTTTGAAGTAGTTTTTGAAGTCCTTCCACAAAGGAGGCAACTTCTCAATCATCGCTGCAACTTGGAATGCTTCATTGATGACAAGACCTTCAATGAAAATTCTGTTAGTAAAAATAATAAAATTAATACTTTCAACATCAGCATTAATTCGACTTATACCTTCAGCAAGGAAATCGTGAATAATCACTTGCAATTCCTAGACTTGGGTAATAACGGACTTGCTATCTACCATTTATAGTCCAAAAATTTAGCGGCAACGAATTTCTTCAACCCGGCATCTTCAGTTTTGTATTTCCTTTCAAGCGCAATCCATAGTTCTTTTGACGTCTCCACATTACTGTAGATGTTATACAGATCGTCCTCTAGTCTGCTAAGAATGTAATTCTTGCATAGAAAATCAGAATGCTTCCGCGCCTCAATCACGAGAAAGTGTTCATTCTCTGGAGTTTCGTCGGGCATAACAGGAACATCTTCCTTAATGAACTTCTGTAGATTTAAAGTCGTCAAGTAGAAGAACATCTTTTGCTGCCACCGCTTGAAATCAATCCCGGAAAATTTTTCGTGTTTTTCTGCCGGTGCCAATGCCGTTGTTGTTCGGCTTGTCGATGCATTGGCAGTCACCATAGGAACAGCCCGGTTCCCGTTGTCATTCGTCATTTCTGTAAAAGAATGACACAAACAAACGTTAAAATCACGTAGATTTTAATCTCCAATGGAGTAGAAAACCACAAAGGTTTTAGTCTCCAGAAACAGTGAGTACAACACAAATACAAAATAATTAAATTCCTTAAGCTTGTTAGTAAACTGTATTTGTAAAATAATTCCGGAGAAGATAAAATAACATATAAACAGAAATGTAAACGAAACAAAATTTAATCCGAGCCCACTGAATTCACAGTGTTTTCTTAAGGAATTTAATCCCCTCCTAGTACCCAAGGTTGTGGATCATTTCCTCCCGGGATAGAACGAATTACACACTGGTGTAGCGGTACTTCAAACCCCAGTGTTTCAGCGAACACAAAGATCGGTAGCAAATCACACTTACTGTTGCTTTCTTTGTAGTTAAAAAAATGCAGAAGAAAGGAGGAGAACTCAGAAATTCGTATGGAAAATATGAGAGAATGGACTGCTATTTATAGCCAATATGTTGAGCTCAAATTGAAGAGGTGCATCTCTTCAGAAGGGCTGTTTACGTAAAACGGCCATAACGTAAATGGCTATTTACGCAACAATAAACCGGGAATTCATAACGAGGAGGAAACTTAATTTTCCGTTACAAAAACGGAAAACGGATAACGGATAACGGAAAAATGCTTAATATTCCGTTGGATTTAATATTAATATTTCGTTGGATTTAATATTAATTTTCCGTTTACAAAAAAAACAGATATTTAATAATATTATGTTAATATTTACTATTAACAAATACATTTGGTCCAAAAAATCAGTCAATCTATCGAAGGCGAAGCCGAGCGACGACGACGGTGCGAGGTTTGCCTTCTTCTTAACTCTTTAAGAGCTAGAAGAAGAGCAATTGTATATATACCCATCAAAAATCTTTTCCTATTCCAATATGAGACAATGTCCCTTTGTCAAGGAGGGAATCTCAAATATTTCATTTTTCCTTCCATTTCCCATTCACCCTCTTTTAAGCTACATTAAGCTTAAAAACCCAACAGGTGTTCCAACAAATGGTTTAGTTTTTTCGACTATTTGCTTCTCTTTGTTCGTATTTAAGATTCACAGAAGAAGAGTAATTGATTTCAGAGAGATTTTATCATTACAAACTTTTATTATATTACCATGAACCAAACAAAATAACGCTATAGAATAAAAGTTTAAAGTGTCAAATATGCCATTAACGTAAGCACGTGGACCAAATATATAATCCATACGGGATCATACTCCCTCCGTTTATTTTTACTTGTCCACCAATAATAGAATTGACAATATGATTTGAAATGAGTAATTAATATTGTGGGTATAACAAGAAAAAAAAATTGTCTTTCTCTTGAAATCTATGCTAAAATTGAAACTAAAACTGATAAATACAAATAAAAATCTATTTTTAAAATAGTGGACAAATAAAAGTAAAGTGAGTTGGTATAAAATAAGGGCGTAATGCATATTTGCGCCAAGTTATAAGGACGGGCAAATTTGCTCAATTTTGCTTAATTTTAGGGCATATTTGAACCTTTTCCCTAAACTCTATTAAAAGGGATAAAAAGAAGAGGACTTGCAAGAAATTAAAAACTGAAATTCCAACAGAGAGAAAGCGAAAGAGGAAAAGCGCCAGTGCTAATCGAGTAGCGAATATCGTCTGAGTACTTGAAGTTGTTCAGCAAAGCCCTAAATTTCAATTTTCTAGCTTCAAAGTAAGCATTTTTTTCTTTTTCATTGACTTGATTGAGCTAATATTGAGAAACAACGCCTTCTATTATTGATTTATATGTCCTGATTAAATGATATAGCGCTATGCTGGCTGTGAGTTAGAGTTGTTGCATCCTAATGCAAGAGTTAATTTTGGCTTATCGCACAGCTTGAAGTAAACCAATAATCTATATTTTTGTTTAATTATTAGCCAGAATTGTTTGACTCTTACAGTTAATTCATCCAACTTGACCGTCTAAATTTTGTCAACATATGTTTTAGTTTTTGCATTTGAAAATTTATTACTTGAATGCTCCCTATTTTTGCAATGTGGCACTGTTTTGATTATGACACCATACCCCTGATTATATTGTTTTACATAACTTGCATATACATTTTCAAGGATTCAAATTCATTTAGGTATATCAAATGTATCATTGGTGTAATGTTTTTTCCCCCTGTTGGAACGGACTTTCAATTGTTTTTCTAACTACTACTTTTATAATTTAGCAGTCAAAATTAGCAGATGAAACTCTCAGTGAATAGTGTCACGTAAATTAGGAGAAATTGAGTAGTTGATGACTTCTACCTTAGTTTGATGCATTCTTACTATTTATTACTCCCAATTTATGTGACGCATATTCCTTTTTAGTCTGTCCTAAAAGAATGATAGCTTTCTATGGTTAGAAACAATTTAACTTTAAGCTTCTCATTTTAACCCTTAATAAGATGATTTGTCGTCACACAAGTATATTTTCTTCTTTCTTTCTTAAACTTGTGCCTTGTCAAAGTGCATCACATAAAATGGGATGGAGGGAGTAATATGTTTAGGAATTTGGTCAGGTTATTAGGTTTTGGACTAAAATCTCTCTCTCTCTCTCTCGGGGTATCTTTGTCGAGTTTCTTGTTGATGTTTTAGCTAAACTATTTAGAAAGAATTACAAGAAAATACACATGACTTCGCACCATAACAAAAAATGGCCCATGTTTTTAAGTTTTACCCTACCTAGCCCATATTGTACATATTTTGAAAGTATTAGCAAATTCAAATTCTGTATTCTTACAACTATTGCTTCTAAAAGCTATGGAGTTAAATCTGTGTTCTCACAACCATTGCTTTCACTCTATTCTTCTCACGTCTTACATATGCTTCAAGGGGGCGTGTATTTTCTGCTTCTCCCCCTGTTTGCAATGTCAGAAAATTGAAGAGTAGAAGTCCACCATTGAAGGTTATTCAAATCTTTGATTTCGAAAATAGGATTTTTTGACTTTGTTAGTTGTTTGGATTGGGTGTTGTTCCAATTGATTGAAAATATCAAAAGGAGTTCAAAATTTAAATTTGAAGTAATTTGGAGTAGATTTGAGCAAGATTTGAGTTAAATTTCAGAAAAGACGCAAGGTAGAAGACGAAGTGAGTTTTTTGTATAATTATGTATAATCTTGTATAATAGTGTATAAACACATCTTATACACTTTTATACACATTTATACAAGCGTTTGTAGACGAACTTCTTCCACGATTTTCAGTTACAATTCTTGTTCAAAACCAGTCCAAATCTCCATTAAATGACTTCAAATTTTATATACAACCTCCTTATACTATTTCTAACAAGTCTAAATAACACCACTCTAAAATTCTCACAAAATCAAATCGAAATTTAAACCCACATATTTAAGCTTGTTAAAAATCTAATTTTCACCACCCAAATGGATTTGGTTTGTTGAACTAATATTTGAGTCACAGTTACTGATTAAAAATTTAACTTAAAAGCTTGAGCAATCTTTTTGTAAAAATTAAATAATAATTTCGAGAATCTATTGGAGTTGAATGTTGAGTATTGGCCTATTATTTTTGGGCTAGTTAGTTGTTAATTGAAATATGGGCTATAAAATTGAAAAGTAGGGAGCTCAGTTGTTCTTATGTGAGATTTTTCCAACTATTTATGCATGATGAGGTTGGTGATGATTGCTATTTGGATTTGGCGGTGATGCCCATTTTCTTGCAATGATGTTAATCGCATATGTGCCATGCATTCTACTTTTTCTTATGGTCCATTGAATATGTTGAGTTTGATTCTGAAGTTATGATATCAATGAATCAATTGGGGGTGGTTTTAAATCTGATTAAATTGTGCTCTGTTGTTCTTGTGATATGTCATGTGTGGAGGTGGTGCTTCTCTTTTAATGCACATGTGCTGCTGTGCAGTTTGTGCGTTCTGAGAAGATGAGTTCTAGGAAGAAGACACCTTTCCAGAAACACCGAGAAGAGGAAGAGGCGAAGAAGAAAGTATGAACCCTTACTGTCTTTGGTTTACTTTGTGTGATGACGTTTCTTGGTCTTGTAACATACATGGATTGTGTTGGCAGAGAGCAGAGGACGAAACAGCTCGTCTGTACCAAGAGTTTGTAGAGTCATTTCAAGCGGATGATACACCTGGTTCTAAAGCTTTTGTTAGAGGGGGAACCATCAATCCGAATGATAAGTTGAAGATTGATTCTGAAGGTCAGTTGCAGCATTTTATGTCCTTAAATTTTCATTATACTCCTTATATATATGAATCATTTTCTATAAAATATGGATAAATAATTTCTCTTTACACGGACACATTTAATAAAAATATGGGCCTTTTCTATTCATTCACCGATGGCAGGTTCCAAAGATGAGGTTTCTGGTTTAAAGAAGGGAAGTAGGTAAACAAATGCTTTTTGATTGACCGTGCTGTAACTACTGTATAAATTTAGGCCTTACGTACCAAGTCTTTTTGTAATGATATCATTGTTAACATTAGGGTGCAAATGTTTGTGGTAAAATATTTTTTTGTCATTTAGAGTCTTTCTGAGTCATTTGATTAACTTCACTGGCAATCTTTCCTTGAATTTATCTGAAAGATAAATACTAATGCTGCTGCATGTGTCTTGAGAGCATGTGCAGTCAATCTGAGCATCTAATGTTCTCTTTTCATATATGTTTAGCTCTCTTTTTGTTGTTTACTCGTGCCAATAAGCAGTGTTATCAAAGGCGCGCTTAAGCCCTGAAGCGTGGCTCAAAACATGTTGAGCGCTTCGCCTCGCTTAGCGGACTCTTCAGTGTTGTCATCAAGGCTCTAAGGCATACTTTTCCTTGCCAATGAGCGTAATCCTGAAGAGGTGGTACTAAACAATTGATATTTCACTTTATCGTAAATTTTCTTCAATTTCGTTGTCCATATATTTGATATTCATGCTTATAGATATTAGTCTTGGACTATACAAGTATACATACATATTTATAGTTTTTCTCCATTTGCGCCTTTCTTCATTAAAGCCTACGCTTTATTTGCGCTTTGCGCTTAAAGCCCCAACAGACCTTAGAGCTTTTTTTACGTTTTTTGCCTTTGATAATAAGATAATACGGAAAGGTTAAGAGTACTACTGGTTTCTGGTGATGATACAGTTATTATTAGGGCTGCAAAGTTAATTGCGTAAAATATTATTTTGTCCTTTAGAATTTTTCCGAGTCACTTGATTCACTTTAATGACGATCTTACCGTGCATCTCTCTGAAAGATAAATGCTAATGCAGCTGTGTGTGTATCTCAAGAGCATGTGCAGTCATGCTGAGGCGCTGAGCACTTAATGTTTTCTTTTCATTTTTGTATAGCTCTCTTTTTGTTACTTACTCATACCAAGAAATAGATAGTATAGAAAGGTTAAGAGTACTACCAATTTCTGGAAGTGAGATTAACATCCTATGTACTTTGCTGGGCAAAATTTGGTGCCTGCATGTTATTTTCTGTTCTTATTGTAAAAGCACATAGATTATCAATGCTTGTTGCTAAATTTTGAGATTTAAAATATATTACAATGAAAAGAAGTCCTATTGGATGGAGCATCTATTTTCAGCAGTCCTCTTGAGACAGCCTTTCGTCACCAGAAACACATTACTAAAGATGGCCTTTCTAATTCATCACCAGAAACGCATTACAAGAGATGAGAAGGGGAATGCTTTGGAATTACTTTTTTGATAAGTCAATATTTCAGTAGAGAACACCAAATCCATGCCAAAAAAATCCATGGGCACTAAGTGGCTCCAGCTGAGTCATCCACAATGGTCTATTAAACTTTGTCAACTATCATTAGATTATAGTATTCTCCTTACACAAAAATGCAAATGAAATAAGAGGGATATTTTTATTGATAAGGTAAATTATTTACTTAATGGTAGGAAGAAACTCATGTATACAAGTGGTAAACCAAAAAGTAGCCACTCAGTATACAAATTGATACCTCATGGGTGCACCAAAAAGAAACAAGGAATAAGAGGCTATTCATCAACAATACAAAATCTTCCTCTATCCTTCAAATGGTCTCATATTCCTCCCTTTCATCCTATCCACCTGAGTGAATGGAGCAACATATAAGATTGTTAATAGTTTGGTTCAACCCGTAATTCTGAGAAATTTATACCATAAACGATGATTGTGTATAAACTAAATTAGACTTTTCCGAATCATCCCAATCATCTCGGTTTCTCTTCGGTTTCGGTTCGGTTCAATTATTCTTTAAGACATCAAATAAGAATACTTATGTTAATAGAATATTCATTTGTTACAGAAAACTGGCAAACACAATATAAGATAAAAATAGCAATTATCCTGCTAAGAAACAAGGATGAGTTGAGTAACATTAACTTTCAAAATATACCTACTTTCAGAAGTACTTTTATGATTTCTTATTGGTACATTATACTTCACCAACAAGGTACAACATCTGAAAGGAACTAGTTTATTTCTCATCCAGCGGGAAACTGTCAGATCTGAGGGCAAAGTAGAACTGGGAAGTGAAGAAACAATAGCAAAGGAGGCGGTAAAAATGGATTTTATGCCCTTAAACTAGTCATTGTTGCAAGAAGAAGGCTTTGTATGGATCTGGTACTGAATTCTGCAAAGTCTTCTCTCCTTTTCTTGGGATGATGCAGAATGGCTAATAATGCTCTAGCTGTGTGGTATAATGATGGTACCATGGTCGTTCCACAAAAAACTGAGTGAGGAAAGGGATGCGTAATATATTTTTAGTTGAAAAAGCGACGGAACGAGAGTTCTTCATGATACCTTATGTCACAAACTTGGCATATAATTATGACTCCTAAACCTAGTAATTTGGCAGAAGTAAACTCCTCTTAAAATGACTGAAGAAGGCGCGCGCAAGTTAAGAACATATGGTAGGTTAGGATTTTTACTGTAGTAGGTATTGTTCCCTGGTTTAGACAACAATTTAATCAAAGCTTTTACGAGGAGGGATGGAATGCCTGTCACACGTCAGAAAGAGGAAACTGTAAATAGTGAGAGCGACTTTGTAAGCAGAAACTTGGTGATTTTCTCTGCCAAAGTGGCCATTCTTTCAGAAGATATATACGTCACTTTCTTTCTTTGTTGAATGCTTGTATTGGTAAATTGATTGTGTCAATTGAAAGCATGTACAATTCAGCTAATGATAATGTCGCCATCCACATGTAAATGATTGATTCTATCATTGTTTAAGAATATGTTTTAAAAAAAAATGTTTTCAGTTATTGGTGGTAGATTCTGGAATGTAGTTCATGTATCTGCAGGTATGTTCCATCTTTTTTACCACCTCCTACGACAACCAAGAGCAGAGATTATGAGAAGGTAAACATCTGCAGGTACTAGAGTAGAAATGTTGTACCTTTTTGATATTTACATATGAATATGTTGTTCTACATTATGCAGAAGGATGAGAAAACAAGGGAAAAGGAGAAAGGAAAACCAAGGAACATCGACTATTTTATGGAGGAACTGAAGCATGAGCAAGAAATGAGGGGAAGGCGTAACCAAGAACGTGAACACTGGCGCGATCGTCATACTGATAATCCAGCCGTAAGTGGCTCTAAGGATATTGGTAGAGTGTATGAAATTAAGCCATTCAATCTTCCCTTCCTTTAAGATGAAATATCGGACAAACTTTTTCTTGTCTTTTTTCAATGAGAGATTCTGTTTAAATGGGTTGAAACAATTGCAGTCCAACATGAATGTTATGATTTAGATGGTTGATGCTCTTCGGCAGTGGTCTGAGTACTTGAATCATTTAGGAAGAAGATAAGTTATTGGTTGTTCTTAGAGCATTACTGGTGCCTTTCATCTGCTTTTGATACACATTTTATGCACAGACATCAGAGTCTTCCTTGAAACATCATGCCACATCTGCTGATATATGCACAATACATTTATTAGTAAAGTTGCTGCAATAGCGCTAAAATTTACTGTAAAAATCACTTATTGTCAAATGTCTCTTCTTTTTGTGGTATCTACTTCCTTTTATATCTACTCTGCATTTTTGGTGTGCTTTGTATTACTTTTCTCATGTTTTATGACAAACTTTCCTCAGCCGTCTAGTCGGTTTGATGAGCTGCCAGATGATTTTGATCCTAGTGGAAGGCCTGGATCATTGGATGATGGGGACCCACAGACCACAAATCTATATGTTGGAAATTTATCGCCTCAGGTAATGCTTTTCTTATTAATGTCACTTTTGTTGCTTTAAGCACTGTGAAGCTGTCTTGAGTTTCTTTATCACCCTATTCTCCTTTCTTGTCTGGTTTACCCTTTTGATTATTTTCCTTATAGGTTGATGAAAATTTCCTTTTGCGTACTTTTGGGAGATTTGGCCCTATTGCGAGTGTTAAAATAATGTGGCCGAGGACAGAAGAGGAAAGAAAGCGACAGAGGAATTGTGGATTTGTATCTTTCATGAATAGGGCTGATGCTCAGGCTGCAAATGATGAGATGCAAGGTTAGGCTTTAGCTTCTACAACTGAAACTTTTGCTTAATCCTATAACAGTCAATAGCGTTTCCCTCTTCTTATTTTCCTCCCCGTGATAATTTCTTTTTAAATAAAAGTTAAATACCTTCCCTTGCTATTTTGCTGATCAGGTAAAGATAAATTTCATTCATCAAGCATCCAGTCGATGCAAATGTGTTATAAAATAGAATTAGTTCCTGTACATGCCTTTGACTCCTAGCTAAAACTTAAGGAGATGACAAATCCAAAAAAGATAACATTTATTTCAATATGAAGTTTACGCCAAGCAATAGCTTAAGGAGATGACAATATCCAAAAATGATAACATTTATTACAATATGAAGTTTAGACCAAGCAAAGAGATTCGTCAAACATCCAGCCTTCAAAACATGAGTCGGAGTTGAAATTCCTTGCTATTATGAATGTCTCATTATTCTTTTCCTAGTTTCATGCAACATAACAAATTTAACATGACGTTCTTGTTGTTCAAGCTTTTAATGCGCAGTTATAAGGAGTTAGAGATGCTGATGTTCAAGCAAAACTATGGCATATTGATAAGTGGAGTAGGTTATAAGGGTTATTCAACTACCTGCATTTATAGCTTTTGAGTGTACAAACCTGTTAAACTGAAAAAGAGAAAATGTTTTGATGGTGCAATATTGTGTATTATGTACTTGTACAGCAAGTGCCAGTTTGCTTAGTGTTTTGAGGAGAATTAATCTGTTGCTAAAACCCAGCATAACATTTACTTTGTTTGGTTGGTGAAATAAGGAGAGTTAATCTATGCATAGAAGCCAACATAGCATATACATTTTCGGTTAGCACTTTACTTTCTTCCTAACTTCCGTACCAATTCGGTCGATCCGGAATGGATCGGTTAAACATTCACCGGCACAAGTTATGAGGAAATACATGTATGATTTTATGCGGGATAGGATATCGAATAAGAATACGGGTATTACTAATACATGGATTAAAATAATATGATAAAATAAACTTGATGTCACCCGGATAGAATAGAAACTTCTTGCAGCTTATTTACTGGAAAAATGCAGAGAACGTCATCCCAACTTCTTCGGTACACAGATAAGATAAGTGAAATAGTGAATCACTGTAATTTAGAGTCTTTAGTTTTTCTTCTGATAGAGTTGGGGTTGTACTGAGTATTGCTGTGTTTAAGGAGCAAAAACTGAAGTTGTCTACTACAGAAAAACACCCTAGCCCATTGACTCTTCCCTTATTTTTAAATACTAGTTTTTCTGCACGTGCGTTGCACGTGTAAGTTAAATTATGTAGTACACGATTTTGCAAAATTATAAAAATATTATTAATATAAAAATTTAAGTAAATAATTATACGTAAAAGAATAATCAATGTACATATTTCATTTAATGATCAATGTAAATCATCGTATGTGACTTGTTTTTCTTATTGAACATTCATCTACCTTACTGTCACCATGGTGTTTGACAATCATGCATTGTCCAGGAAGAAGTATTAAATTGTCTTTTAATGGTTGCTCCTTGTTACCAACACAAAGTAAGAAATTAAATTTGGAATATTAGTAGAATTATGGGAAAAATCAAGAATCTAATTCAAATTTTTATTATAATGCCAGCACAAGTTGTTAACTTGTTATATAAATAAAATACTAACATTGATATTTCGATTGAAACACACGAGCAATAATACTTTTGCATCAAAAATAAAATTATAACACAGATATGTCATTCTCCTTCACAAACATCAAGCCTTAAGCAACATCTAAAATATTATAGATAAACAAATTAATAACTCTTTTTCCATAAAATAGAAAAATACTTTTTGTTAATGCTACTCACCTCCCTTCCTAAATAACTTTCTCTATGCTACCTCCACTCCCATGGCAATAGGATCGAACTTGTACCAATTTCTGAGTTTTACAGTAAGAAATTAACGATGTATATGGATTCACATGCAAATATAATAACAGCAAATCTTTATTGAATGCACAATTCCTAATTGAATATCCCATCGTCAATCTTAAATGATGATCATTCATCAAAATTATTGTTGTTTCCTTTGAAAGTCCATATGAATGAAGAATCCATTGTTTACTTGATTACAAAATTGTATTAGCCCTTCTGATTCTATAAGGCCGAGAGTGGACACCTTTTCTAGATTTTGCACAATAGTTTTTTGGCAAGGGAAAGAGTGTGTGACTCTTCAGTACTGTCATAGATTAACAAACATAATTACTCCATATCCACGACAATCTTTTCTGATAAAAGAAAAATACTTGGGCTAAAGCATTGTCCGCGTACAAATCCATCTCAAAGAAGATATTCAGAAATCGAGATTCTTAATCAAGTTTCTCTCAAATTCGAAAATTCTGATGAGAAAATCTAAAAATTCATCACATGGGCATGTAAATTTAACTTCTTCCAAAAGAAACATCTAATTTTAAACTCGTTCCACCCATCAAAAACACGACTTGAACAAGCGGGTATTGAAAGATGATGACAGTACGATATTTGATGATGCTAAATAAAATGCAATAAATCATTTGTAACTATCTGGATTTTGTGGTCCATTTTTGTTCATTTAACAAATTGGAATGCCTTCGAAAGGAAAAAAAGAAGAAGAAGGATATATGCATACTTATCAATCAAATAACTGAATAAGGGAACTGACGGGTGCGAGAAGAGGGGAGTGCAACAATAAATTTGTTCATGAATGGTTGTGACTTTTAACAGTGAGGATGATCCGTTGGATTGGGCTATTTTTAGGCTTAAGGTTCCTTTTTATTTAATTTAATTAGGTATTTAAACTATTTAAAAGGATATTTTGGTAATTTAACTTTTAACTTTTGAGCTTCCAACTTTTATAATAATATAGATAAAAGGAAGACACACATATTATATCATACAATGTGTACTAATTTTAATACAAAAAAAAAACATCCAACAAGAAATATATCTTACATTATAATCCTTGCACTACTATTTCCTGCATTACTCTAAAAAAGGGCAGCTTGGTGCATTAAGCTCCTACTATGCGCGGGGTCCGAGAAAGGGTTGGACCACAAGGGTCTATCGTATGCAGCTTTACCCTGCATTACTCTCTCTCCATTAATAATCCCTGTATAACAATCTCTAGTTCTCTATAGTACTAATCCTTGCATTACAATCTCTACATTACTAATCCCTGAACCAAACGACGACGACAACAACATCATACCCAGTGTATTCCCACAAGTGGGGTCTGGGGAGGATAGTATGTACGCAGTCCTTACCCCTACCTTGTGAAGGCAGAGAGGCTGTTTCCGGAAGACCCTCGGCTCAATACAGCAAAATAACAGTAGTTATGACGATGAACTACGTAAAACGAACTAGTAACGACAGCCAGAAAAAATAAAAATGAAGGACAGGAAACATCAGGTAATAATATCGATCTAAAAAAAAGGGAACATGAGGAGTTTTTGAACCAAACGATGCCTAATAAATGTGTCTTTGTTTTGCGTTGCTTTCTTTGTCTTCTCCTTGGGAGATTCGTCCCTTCAATTCTTGTGGGTGTCGCCTCCTGTTTGCTATGCCCATTTTGGGTTTGCTGGCACAGGAGATATTTGGCTAAATAAGAGGGAATGCAGTAGATATTAGAATCTATATTTCTAATATTTGCTCATGTCTATCCAGTATATATCAACTCTTGCTCAGTTTCCCAGTGTTTGAACTCATCCTTGTGCAAAGATCTTGCTTCACTGGGGTACAGTAGTGAGAGGCAGAATGGAGACTAACGATGGACTTCTTTTGGTTGTTTTAACAGCAGTGTGTTCTTGATAATGTTACCTGCTACATAACTATTACACAGAGCTCATGGAATTTGTTTTATTGCTATGTGGCTGTCTACTCTGTTTGCTTATGTCATCGTTCTTTTTTATTATTATTCGTTATCTCTTGCAAGTACATACAACTTTAAGCAGTGAAGCAATTAAATACCAAATTTTCTTTTTATGATCCAGGAGTGGTGGTTTATGAGTACGAGTTGAAGATCGGGTGGGGCAAATCTGTCTCTTTACCATCCCAATCACTCCCTGCTCCTCCTCCGGGACAAATGGCAATCAGGAGCAAGGAGGTTCGTCGTGCTCCATAGCGAATATGATTTGTTAAATGCATGTTATGAATGCATAACTTGGCAAGCTTAGGTGTTTATCTTTCAATATGTTCTAAAGGTGTATGATTTCTTGATGAGCTATATATGTGCATAGATACTACACTGATTCTTCTATCTAGGAATGTATGATCAGTTGAATGCATGTCATGAAAACAGATGAATGGTCAAACTTGTGTGTTTTTGCTTCAACTAGTTATATGTATCAATCATGTTAATTTAATAGATAGATACAGAGTACCTTCTATGGGTTAATTATTCATTCTTGGCAATGGATATTTGGTTTTCCATCTGAAGCTAGTTATATTTCCTTTAAAACTGTAATTTTCTGTGGTAAGGTTTCCCTTCTGCTGTCCTCTCTGCCTTCTCTTTCTTAATACATTCCTTTGAGCTCCTGAAACTAATTTAAGTGATTATCTTATGTGGTTTCAGGGTAGCACTGTCATCTTATCTGGTCCATCAGGTCCTCCAGTTACTTCTATACCAAGCCAGAACTCTGAACTGGTATGTTAGCTGTCTGAATAGTTATATAATACAAAAATCAAATCACAGTTGAATGGTGCAACATAAAATTGGATGGAGTAGTCCTTAAGAATTCTCAGTTTTCTGGTAGTCTTATTAACCAGTTGGTAATATGCTTGTGCTTTGTAGGTTCTTACCCCAAATGTACCTGATATTATGGTTGTCCCACCGGAAGATGATCACCTTTGCCATGCTATTGATACCATGTCTCTGTATGTTCTCGATGGAGGCTGTGCTTTTGAGCAGGCCATAATGGAGCGAGGCCGTGGGAATTCTCTCTTCAACTTCTTATTTGAGCTTGGCTCCAAGGAGCATACATATTATGTTTGGAGACTTTATTCTTTTGCTCAGGTAAAGCCTATCATGGCTCTGAAATATGAATTGATAGAATGACCTTTCTTCCTTTTGTTTTCTGATAAGTGACCTGGTGACCTAACTTCATCAATTGCTTTTAAAATCAATCCATATTTCTCTTATAAGAGGGTGAAGAAAAAAATTTACACTATGCTAGCTAAGATCTTTTTGGTTCTTGTGAAATAATAGGGGGATACTCTTCAACGCTGGCGCACAGAACCTTTTATCATGATAAGTGGTAGTGGAAGGTAACTAACTGTTTTTTTGCCTTTTGGATTGGAGTTTCTGGTGCAGATATTGTGGGTCCTAATGCAAAGCGTTTGAAATCAGTCTCCACTGTATATATGCATATAAAGGGGTCGTCTGATATGCGTTACTAATAACCACATGGAGTGGAATGATTTTTATTCTACCTAAACCTGCTATTGGTAGGCCTCCGGGTAGATTAAGTTATATGGATAAACCTCTCTTATCCCATGGCGTTGCTCGGGGCCAGGGGATACCAATCTCTGAAAGGGCCAACATGACTAAAATGTCCCGCTAATATAAGACATTTTTATTTTCTTTGTTTCTTGCGTATTCCTTTTCTGTGAATTGTTTTGAGATTTGATGAGGGGCATTTTGGAAATGACGGTGAAAATTTCAATCCCCTGTATAATCTTCTTTAACAATCCAATCCGGAGGGACTGGATACCACCTTATTCAGTCCCTCATATTGAACGACCTGAATAGAGAGCATCTGGAAAGTACCTTACATAGTGAATATGCTTAATGGAAAACTTAAACTAGTATTTAGTATGTAACTGAACTCGTCTACTTTATTGTTGCAAAAGTTAGAATGATGTGTGGATGGAGGGACGAAGCCCTTTGTTTTTTTGAGTTTTCGATTGAATATTGTATGTCGTTGACCAAACTTTTGTTAATACTTGTAGGTGGATACCACCTCCTCTGCCTACATCAAAAGGAGATGAGAACGAAAAGGAATTGGGGACTGCATATGCTGCTGGAAAAAGCAGGGTACATTCATGATGCTAGAGATTCATGTCAAGTTAATTTTGATTTTTTGGGATCTTCATTCTGAAAGTGTAAGGGATTTTCTTTTCATCTGACAAATGTTTTTTTATTTAACTTTTATCTTTTAACATTTGCAGCGTGTAGAAGTAGAAAGGACATTAACTGATGCACAGAGAGATGAATTTGAGGATATGCTACGTTCATTGACTCTTGAAAGAAGTCAGATAAGAGAAGCAATGGGTTTTGCTCTAGACAATGCTGATGCTGCTGGAGAGGTAAATTTTCAGTTGGTGTTTTACAAATTTTCCGTTATTTTTGTACTGCACTTTTTTGTCTATTCAAATACTTGAACCGACTGGAAGTGGAAGAGGGCATTCTGTTGGGTCTACATTCATTATTTGATATTTTACTATTTTACCTTTCAAAGCTTCTATTTCATGTTTAGCAGTTGAATAAACAAACCTGCTGGTGATTTCCGCATCTAATTTCAAAGTGCCATCAGCTTCTCTGAAGGTGTTTTTATATTATTTAGCATAAAGATGAGACTTGAACATTAATTGTAATAGATAGGACCATGAATGAGTTGAGGGATCCTGTGATCGTAATTGTTTCCATTGTATTTTCCTGAAACAGTTCCCTGTTGCTACTGAGTTGCAGGTAGTTGAAGTTCTAACAGAATCTTTGACGCTTAAAGAAACTCCAATACCAACAAAAGTTGCCCGGCTTATGCTTGTCTCAGATATTCTCCACAATAGTAGTGCTCCTGTTAAGAATGCATCAGCATATCGCACTAAATTTGAGGCCACTTTACCAGACATAATGGAAAGTTTCAATGACTTGTATCGTAGTATTACAGGAAGGATTACTGCTGAGGCCCTCAAAGTAAGCCATTCCCATTACCATACTGCTTTTGCACATGTTGGATTTGTAGCCTGTTTCTATCCTCCTTGATGTGTTGCTAAGCTTTGCTTGACACGTTGCAGGAGAGAGTTCTGAAAGTTCTTCAAGTGTGGGCTGATTGGTTTTTATTTTCCGATGCTTATGTCAATGGTTTACGTGCAACTTTTCTTCGATCTGGGAACTCCGGTGTCATCCTCTTTCATTCTCTTGGTGGTGATGCCCCTGAACTAGAACAAACGATCAGCACTAAAACTGCACTGGATGGTGACAAGGTTAACCAAGATGCTGCACTGGCAATTGGGAAAGGAGCTGCCATGAAGGAGCTACTGAGTCTTCCCCTTCCGGAGTTAGAAAGACGATGCAGGCACAATGGTTTGTCTCTCATAGGCGGTAGGGAAATGATGGTTTCTCGGTTACTTTACCTTGAGGAAGCAGAGAACCAGAGAGGATATGAACTGGATGATGATCTAAAACTTGTAAACCGTCCAAATTCTGGCAGATACCTTAGTAGCCAAAAAGAGACCAATACTAAGTTGGATCAGATGGCTTCAGGCTGGAATAGTTATGTGAATGACGACAAACAACTCGAAGGCAAAGTCTCTATGTTGTCGGTTCCCTCAAATTCTAGTCCACAGCTTGATTCAAATGACTTATTTGATGAGGGTAAAAATCGGTCTATTTTGCCAGCCTCTAAATGGGCCAGGGAGGATAATGAAAGTGATGATGAACAAAAGAGAGATATGAGAGACCTGGGGTTGACATATTCATCTTCTGGAAGTGAAAATGCTGGAGATGGCATTGGTAATATTGAGGAGATGGGACTTACAACTGACACGAGCAATTCAACACATCTAGAAAGTGGAATGACTGAAGAACAGAGGTAAATATGTAAATATAGATGTGTTGTTTGATGCATCGAAATAGGTTTCGTTTTGCCAAATTTTTTTTGATCTTCAAGTCTTCATGTCGTGTTAGTTTTTGACATTTGAGTATACTCCTTTTGTCGAAGGAAGGTAGTAACATTTACTTACTATTTTCAAGTAGATTAGTCTTGAATTAGATTGTCCTTTATAGGTAGAACGTAGAGTAGTGAGTAAATGGAAAAACTATGAACAATGATTTTGTATTTCAAGTTTGATGCTTTGACAAATTTGGCTGAAGAGTTTGAGTTTCGGAAGTAAAAAGAGACTCTCTTTTTGGACAAAAAGAATAACACACTACCTAATGAGTCTTGCTTTTTGCATACACACTACCCTCCCGAGACCCCACTTGTGGGATTCCACTGGGGTTGTTGTTGGTTGAGGGGTCTGTTGTTATGTTCGTTTCTTGTTTTTGCCCATTCATAAAACTGAAATCTCCCTCTACCGCACCATTATTTCAGAGAAATCAAATACGCTCCTTCATTATTCTATTCCTGAATGTTACCATATTTGCAGTGGAAACAGGTTATTAAGCCCCCTCAACATTTGAACTTGCAAATTACCTCCCTTCTTGTTAAGTGTGTTCCAGAGCTTTACGGTTCAATGACGTGTACAACCATCAACTATATGTTTATTTTAATTGAGATGATGGATGTGGCCCTTACAGTTTAAAACCCAGCTTTGTTGACGTGTAGCTTTAACATAATTTTGTCAATCATTCCTTTTTACAGAATGAGGAATATTTTAGATAAAATTATAAACTACAGGTGCAGAACTGTAGTTTTGATCTAGCAGAATATTTAGACTGAAACAGAAAGAATTAAAACTAAAATGGCATGACAGCTCTGCATTCTTAATGTTGAGTCAGAAGTTTGTCAGAGGGGTACACTCCGTGAAAAGAGTAAGAGAAGGGAGAAAACTTATTGAATTGGTTATTAACAACGTACGAGATGGCTCCTTATGTAGGAGCTCTGAGCTACATGAAATTGAGTTTTCTAAATCGTGAAATTCCTTATTATTATGACATGCACATTAATAATATTCTACAGTCTTCTAAATGTTTTTGGAACAAGTACAGAATCATTAAGAGCATTCTACATAATGTTCGTAGCGATTCTTTTTGACCTGGGTCCTAATCTTGCTGTAGATCAAGTTAAAGATTTACCATAAAACAAAAGGAAATTGAAATACAACCTCTTCTCCATGTTGTACCTCCCAGTTTAATCTAGTTTTACTTACAAGTGGTTATCAGTTTCGGAAAAGAAAGCTAGCATAAACCTACAAGTTGAAGAAAAGAGAATGAAAGAAAGGATAAGAGAGGAATGGATTGGAGAATGTTGGACTTCAACTTTCACATATTGAGTTTTGAAGATGGATAGGCAAACTCCTGTCTCTAGCTCACACAGTTGACCTAGACTAGTTCCTTTTTGTGTCTTCTTTCAGTTGAATACTAGTTTTTAATGAATAAACATGTGCTCAATGCTTCCTCAATGTATGATGTCCATGCTACGCAGTATAGTAAATGACAGCCTGAGGTCATTTAGTAAGTGTAGTAAATTGGAGGAGGTAAAATGAACTATGAATTTCTGGCAACTTACAGAGAAGATTTCATCTGTCACAATCTTCAACTAATATGGATAGAGATTTTTATCTTTCTATCGATAAATAGATCTATTGAGAAATGGATATTGATCTGGTTTCAAGATCTATGAACAAGAGAGATCCCTAAATATCCATTTGAGAAAATAGATGAATAGATAGGGCGAAACCAGCTGAAGGAAGGTCGCGTTAGCGCCCCTTATTTCACTAAAACAAGAAGGGAGAAAGCTGACTTTGAAAAAGAAGGGTTTCTATTTTGATTAGTTTCTTAGTAAAGGATAACAACAACAACAATAACATATTCAGTCTTATCCCACACCGTGGGGTCTGGGGAGGGTAGTGTGTACGCAGAAGCAAAGGCGGATAAGGCAAGATACAAAGGCGTAGCAGCGGCGCGAAGTTGCGCCTTAGCGCATCCGTTTTCTTGCTAACACCATTGAATTGCTATAAATTTGATTCCGGATTTTTTATATTACATTCTTCAATTCTGTCTTCTCTTTTGGATTTTGATTGGTATACGACTTGCTCATGGCAGACTAAAGCTGAGGCGCCTTGAGGTTGCTTTGATTGAATATCGTGAATCTCTTGAAGAGCGAGGGATAAATAATCCAGATGAAATAGAAAAGAAAGTTGAAATCCATCGGCAACGGCTTCAATCTGAATATGGTTTAGCAAATTTCAGTCGAGATGTTTCAAGAAAGAGTAAGTGATAAATCTACAAGTAGTTTGACATTTCTATATCTTTTGTGTTCAGGTTTAAGATTTCTCAGATTCTTTGGAAAAGATATCTTCTATCATAAAATTTTGCACCCTTTACGGCTGTCCAATTTCCTATTGATCTCGAAGTAGCTTAATTCCAATTAACAAAAGCTTGTTGCTTCCTTTTATGTCTAATCCACTTGACCCCTCAAATGGCATTCTTCCTTCTCCAAGAATTTAAACTAAGATGCATGGAGTATGTTATTTTAATCTTGACGTGATATCTTTTCAACTAAATATTTTGACTTTGTACTTTCAGTAACCCCCCTTTTTTTGTACAAGTAGTTACTTATTTCTGCTTTTGCAAGTGGTCTTTCTCTTACACAGTTAAAGCCTGCATTTTATCTCGGTTAAGTTGATAAGTTATCGGATACCCAGGTGACTGGTGGAAGTTAGGATGTTCTCATAGACATTAACTGAAGTCTGGTGCTCTAATCTCATTATATGCTCTTTGGAAAGCACTATCAGATATTTTGTGTCAAGCATCTCTGACTCCTCTTGTTTGTAGAGGAGTGTTTTTCTTCTTCTTTTGTGTCTGGTGATAAACACAAAAATGAAGGGAGTGAGGAAATATTATCAGATATCCTTTTTCTTTTGACTGAAATATCATGCCTCGAACCCTTGTTCATCTTCTTTGCATTTATTGCAAAGGCAGTGATGGTTAATGTTTATTGCAAACTGTTACGAGATTCCTTATAGTTTATACCTTATTTGGAGGGCATGTATGAGATGAATCGTTCATCTTCTTTGTTACATTAAGATATAGATGTACATTTCCCAGATAATAGACACAGCAAAATTTTGCTGTCTGCACACCTACCAATGTGAAGGTGCTTTACTTTCTGCCTTCAAGGTGAAACTAATTCCTGTAGTGTATCTGTTCTTCCAAATTAAACAGCGAGTAGTTCAACTTCAGAGAGGAGGGACAAGAGAGAGGATCCCCGGGAAACTTCAAGGAAACGTCATCGAAGCATAAGCAGAAGTGAAAGTCCTCAGAGGAAATCTTCCAGCAGAGACAGGGAAAATGATGTGAACAGAGACAAGGAAAAACGACGAGAGAGGGAAAGAGTTCATGATGTAGAAAGTGAAAAACAGAGAGACAGTGGACGGGAGAGGAAGAGAGGAAGCAGGGAGAGGGATGACGATAGTAGAGACAGATCCAGGGAAAGAAGACGAGTCAGATGAATACATTGTGCTGTTACTGTATCTTGATAGATGGTTATCGTGTTTGCTCGCCTTTCATAGTGAAAATCCGTAATGTGAAGCTGTTTGGCCAATGGAAGGGACCTGTAGACTGCATTGTGTTCCGGAAAAGATGCATCACTTGAAGAGAGTCATGTTTGTATTTCTAAATAGACCTTTAACAGTAGATTTTACTCTTTTATGTAGCCTTTTTTATCTAAATTTTAGAAAATCGTTTGGATTTCCTATTGAAGATTTGCATTACTCTCGTTCAACAAAAGCGGCGGTTGTCACTCGGTGTTTGTTCATGTTTGGTTCATTTTTGGATGTCTGTACAACTCATTCGAGAAGATTTAGCAGAAAGGACTTACATATTCGATTTAATAAAAGGCGACACTTTGACCAAACTTTGTTTATCCTTTACACAATATATACAATTTGCAAAAGGTTAAAACTTGATTAAGTGAAATGGGGGCAGGATTATAGGGGCATAAGTGTAAACAAGAGAATTTTGGAGCTGCCTGAAAACCGAAATCGGTTTATAATAAATGGTTGAATGGTAGCATGACGCGTGAAACCGAAAATAGGCAAAAGACAAGTCAAGTAACAATTAGTACTGGATACAACAATTATAAACGACATGGGGTAAATTCCGAAGGGAGCGTAGCCAGCAGGAGCAGATCGAGTAATGGTTATCGGATAGCATTCAATGAGAGAATATTTTCTAGCACTAAATGGACAACTGTTACGGAGAATATTTATATTTATGGCTTGCCATTACATATTCATCAATGACACTTTTTATTATCATTTAAGAGGAGCTTGATCCTAGAATCTTGCTTCCCTAGATAAAACTATAAATAATAGGCTCAATAGCCATTGTAAGGAAGGAATTTCTTTGCAAACATATGCTATATTTTACTTTTGCTTTCAATCAAACAACTTTACTTATTTTTTATCATGGCTTCCACTTTTATCCCCGAGGATATTGCGCCTGGAACCAGGCTTGTCATCTTCTTCAATTTTAATTACTAAATCTCATTTTTAATCTTATTTCTTTATCATTTTTGAATTAAATCAGTTCGCTTGTCTATAAACGACGTAACACACTGTGCCATTTTACGGGTAAATAGTTTGGCGCCCACCGCGGGGCTCAGACAGTTGCGTAATTGCTTGATCCTTACGTTTGTCACAAACTTGTTTAATTTTTTCCCTAGTAAGAAATCAGATATGGCAGATAATGATGTCAACATCACACACAACGTAGAGGGGCACAAAGATTTGCCTCAACATGATGACTCAATCAGCGACACCCGTAACAAGGAGGACGAAACAACCTCGATTCGTGAAGGGCAATATCTACGACATGTGCGTGAGCCAACTCCCGATGATGCGGAGGAGGAACACGTGGTAGAAATAGTGAAAATCTTAAGAGAACAGCAGAAAGCAATCATGAGCTAGTCACCTCCCAAGGCAGGACCGGGTAATGAGAAAGTTAAAAAAAGCGTTGTCAGGTGCTTCCAATAATACAAACGAAAGGGGTCCGGTTCCTCCCAGTGTTCTTGCAAATCAAATGGCTCAGAGGGTCGACAATAACACCCCAAGGGGTAAAGTCGATTTCGATGGTATCGGGGGAACCAATAGCAGATATGGGAATGACAACAGGAATGCCCCCTTCAAAACTGAGCTCATGAGGTTTATAAGGGCAATGAACGAACGGATGGATCAAAATGCAAAGGAGTTTCACGCTCGGATGGACCATATTTCGGGCGCACCGCCAGTTCTGAAAGGCCTAAATTCGAAAAAATACATGCAATTACCATTTAAGCCGAGCGCATCGTCAGAGTTAATTCCGAAGAGGTTCAAAATGCAGGACATACCAAAGTACGATGGGACCTTGGATCCACAGGAGCACATCACAACCTGCACCACCGTTGTGAAGGGGAACAATTTGGCTCAACATGAGATCGAGTCGGTCTTGCTGAAGAAGTTTGGCAAAACCCTCACAAAAGGTCCCTGACATGGTATTCACTCTTACCCAAACATTCAGTTGACTATTTTGAGATGCTTGCATATTTATTCATTAAGGTCCATGTGGGGAAAGGAAGGTCCAATCCAGGAAGGCAGACATATTCAGAATTGCGCAATGTGAGTCCGAATTTCTGCGAGAATTTATGATCAAGTTCCAGAAAGAGAGGATGCTGCTACCGGTTGTACCGAATGAGTGGGCAATGGAGGCATTCACAAAGGGTTTGAATCCACGGAGCTCCGACGCCACCTGAAAATTTAGGGAAAGCATGCTCGAATTTCAAGCAACTACATGGGTGGATGTCCATAACCGTTATGAGTCAAGATATAGGACGATCAGCTCGAGTTCCTGACATCAACCAAGTGACGGAACTGAGATAAGAATCAGGGCAAGTTTAAAAGTGACTTCGATGCGGATCGATGATCTTCTAAAGGTCGTTTCCTGCTATATGAAAGAACCAAGGGTTGCAACAGCAAAGGGTTTCACTTCTCGGATAGGTTCCCTCCCGATAGAAGAACCAACCGTGGCCGGAAGCCCGGAACAACAGGGCATTACAAGAAAAAGAGGTACCGGGGGCTCGAGACTCCACTTATTCCAAGTTATCGGATTACAACTTCAACATCAGCTTAGTGGAATTGGTATCGGCGATGAGGAATATCAAAGAAGCACGATTTCCGAAGCCAATCAGATCTGATCCCAGCCAAAGGGATCCCAACTTGTGGTGTGAATATTATGGGACTCACGGCCATAGAACTAAGGACTGCCGACATCTACGTGAAGAGGTGGTGACATTATTAAAGAATGGCCATCTCAGGGAATCTTTAAGTGATTGAGCCAAGAACAACTACAACCGAACCTGGGACAATGCAGAAGGCAGTAGAAGACACCCTTCGGTTGACCATTAACATGATTTTTGGAGGGAACGAAATCAACGGTGTAACCTTCTCGGCGACCAAAAAAACAAAGATATCGGTAACTCATAACAAGAGACTTCGGAAAGTCACGGAGGATGATATCACCTTACGGAGGAAAACATTGACGGACTTCTTCTACCACATAATGACACTCTGGTAATCTCTCTTAATGTTTTAGATTTTAAAATTAAGCGTGTTTTAGTTGACCCAGGGAGCTCAACCAACATCATCCAATGGAGTTTGCTGGAGCATGAAAAGCTGGCTAGAAACATCATACTGATGACAAAACTCTTAGCTGGATTCAACTTGACAAGTGTGACAACCTGATGAGAGATCCTGCTGCCCACGAACGTCGAAGGGGTAACCGAAACTACCTTATTCGAAGGTGTAGATGGTGACATGGGCTACAATATAATCCCGGGGAGGCCGTGGATACACGAGATGAAGGCCATACCCTCGACATATCATTAGTTATTGAAATTTCCAACACCCTAAGAGATCTAGCAGATAAGAGGGGACCAACCGGCAGCAAGGGAAATGAACGCAGTAACAATTTCCAGCAGCAAAGGGAAGGAGCCCATCAAATAGCAATTACAGGAGCCGATGTCTTCTCCCTTTCCGAACAAAGATGGTAAAGGCGAGGAATCATCGAATCCCACCAGGTGTCGAGATAATTTCAGGTACCGTAGGAGACAGATGCGACCAAGTCAACCACAGAGGACAAGAGTTCTTGGAGAGGAAGTCCACCTGGGGACAGGATTAAACCCCGAGCTCAGGTTGGGGTTTATCAATTTTCTTAAAGCTAACGTCGACTGTTTTGCATGGTCACACTCGGATATGACAGGTATCCTATTAGAGGTGGCCGTTCACAATCTAATCCTGGGTCCAAATTTCCCACCGGTAAGGCAAAAGAAACGCCCGATAGTGGAGGTCTGAAATAGGCTTGTTAAAGAAGATGTAACCCGATTACTAGATATTGGTTCCATCTGAGAGGTAAAATACCCAGAATGGCTAGCCAACGTAGTTGTAGTACCAAATAAGAATAACATAGAATGTGCATACACTATAAGGATTTAAATAAGGCGTGCCCTAAAGACATGTTTACATTCCCAAACATTGATCAAATGATTGATGCTACAGCCAGACACGAGTTAATGAGTTTTCTAGATGCTTACTCCGGGTACAATCAAATCAAGATGAATCCGGAAGATCAGGAAAAAACTTCTTTCATAACAAACTTTGGCATATATTGGTATAATGTGATGCCGTTTGGGCTTAAGAACACCGGAGCCACTTATTAGAGGATCGTCAACAAAATGTTTGAAAATCAGATAGGAAAAACAATGGAGGTATACATTGATGATGTGTTAGTCAAGTCTTTGAATGCAGGAGATAATTTGAAACACCTCCAAGAAACTTTCAATATCTTGAGGAAGCATAACATGAAACTCAACCTGGAAAAATGTACGTTCGGGGTTGGTTCCGAAAAATTCCTCGGATTCCTGATCTCACAAAGAGGGATCGAGGTAAATCCCGACAAAATCAAAGTTATCGAGGACATTCCGCTCCAATTAGCAAATGTATAGGAGGTACAGAGGCTGACCGGAAGATTGGTGGCCCTAAGTGGATTCATCTCGAGATCCTCTAAAAAGTGTCATCACTTCTTCTCACTCCTCAAAAAGAAAAATAATTTCAAATGGACTCCGGTATTCCAACAGGCCTTGAAATACCTAAAAAGGTACCTATCAAGCCCCCCGTTACTGTCAAAAATGGGGGAAGGAGAGCAATTGCTAATATATCTAGCGGTCTCGAAAGCAGCGGTAAGTGCCGTTTTATTCCCAGAGAAAGAAGGTACACAATGTTTTGTTTATTATGTGAGTAAAATATTATTGGGAGAGGAGGCTAGTTATCCGCATCTCGAAAAGCTGGCTTTAACTCTCGTAGTCGCCTCTCGAAAGCTTAGGCCTTATGTCCAGTGCCACCCCATAGATATTTTAGCAACATTTCCCTTAAGGGATGTCCTTCACAAGCCTGAGTTTTCAGGTCGTTCGGCTAAAAGGGCAGTCATAATTAGTGAGTTCGACATTGAGTACAAACCTAGGACTGCGATCAAGTCACAAGTTGTGGCCGTCTTTGTGGCCGATTTCAGTCCCGGGTTAATGCCCTTGGATGCTAAGGAAACAGTGCTGGTGTGGAAAATGACATAAGGAGGCTGGACCTTGTTTACGGATGGAGCTTCCAACGTAAAAGGGTTCAGTCTCGGGATAGTTCTAGTCACGCCTTCGAGAGAAACCTTGAGTCAGGACATTAAGATTGTTCCATTAACTAACAATGAAGCCGAGTATGGGGCTTTGGTTATAAAACT